CACTCTAGACTATGAGTTCCCTGGAAGTCAAACGGGTGCTTTGAAACGCAGCAGCCCCTGTGGCACAGCAACTGAGGCGCTTCGATCATACAATATTGCCGTCCACGCCTGTATCGGAGGTTAGAGGGTGATATCGGAGTGAATCGGAGGCCCCCACTATGAATCGGTTTCGGATTTGCGTCGTGTCGCGCGTGCGGGCAAGGCGAAACTACGTGGGCGGGCGAACGGAATGAACTCGTCGTTGCTACAGCGAGACCGGGCCACATGATGCTGCCACCCACCCAGTTGGCTGGCGGTGGCTCGGGGGTGTGCGCTAGTTGGCTGGCGGTGGCTTGGGAGTTATCCGACGGTGCCCTCCATGGTGTCCCGATGGTGTCCCGATGGTGTTCCGATAGTGTTCCGATGGTGTCCTGATGGTGCCCAGATGGTGTCCACATGGTGTAGCGATGGTGTCCCGATGGTGTCCTCATAGTGTCCCGATGGTGCTCCGATGGTGTCCCGATGGTGTCATTTACTCGCCCCCGCAGTGTCTTCAGGTGCAATTCCCGATGGCGTTTCGATTGTGAGCGGATGGTGTCCCGATGGTGTCCCAACGGTGTACAAACGGTCTCTAAATGTTCCTGTGGTTGTCTGGCGGCTGTCTCGCAGATGTCCAGCATCGTCATTATGCATCATTACCAGCACGCGAGCACATCAACAGCATCGGCTCCATCACAATCATCGCAGTTGTCGTCAGTTGGTTCCCCTCCACAAGCTCCTTATCACCCACAGGGTGGTCGTATAGGTATTGTTTGATGGCCCCAGCCAAGATCGCACCACTGAAAAGATAAGTAGCGGCGAACACATGTTTGCAAGCGTGAATCTTGAGCAGTAGGTAACTGATGAGTCAGCGCACTGTGAAATTGCTAGCTATGTGATGCAAAAGCGTCTCTGCGACGTTTTGTTCGCTTCGACGAGCAAGTCTGCATCCTCGGGACCCCCCCACCCCACGCGGCAACAACGGGCGGCAACGCGGGCCGAAACACGGCGGATCCTCGGAACAGCCCCACAGGCTGCCACGGGCGGGAACGTGGCCAACTCTTCGAGCACCCCCACGGACGGCCACGGGCGGCATCTGGCCAGAACGCGGCGACTCCTCGGGACAGCCCCCACAGGCGGCAACGGCGGGCAGCGGGCGGCAGCCGCCCAGACCGTGGCGAATCCCCAAGAAACCCCCACAAGCGGCAACGGGTGGCAACGGGGCGGCAACCAGCCGGAGCGTGGCGAATCCTCGGGACACCGATCCGAGTCCTTAGAAACGCCAGCACGGGCCCCTAAGTGCAAGCACCGCTTGGAGAATAAGCTTTTGCAGCTCCGCGCGGACTGCTTGGGTCGGCACTCCAACAAATCCGTCCGGGGCCCTGAAATTAGATGTGCCGCTTGCTTCGTCGAACATCTCACCAAGATCTTTGGGACATGACTTGGAGGCTGCGGTGCGCCAGTGACCGTCAGCGTCCTTCCCCTCAAGGGCCAACTGCACGCGGGGGGGCGTGGAGGGCGGCATGCGACTCTTCCATCAGCGCGCGGGGCAAAACGGTCGAGACTTGGCCACAGACCGCGTTCACAAGGGAGGGGGGCAGCAATGACGGTCGCAGTGCGACCTGCGTTCAGCACAGCACACCGCGGGGAGGCCGACTCCTCGCGTGAGACCGCCATCGATCGTTCACACCACCAGTGCTGAGAACACACACGGCTGCCCAGAAAAATGAGCAGACAAAAACGCCAATTCGACGTTTCAGGTCGCGTGGACGTCTAGAACTAGAAAGCAAATTAATGATACGTAATACGCACGCGTGATCAGGCTGGCGGCCTGATACGAGCAAACTCGAGCGCAGGAGTCTAGCTGACCGGCAAGGTGATGGTTCTAATAATTCTACCTTGGTCTGGTCTGACATCCTCTGGGCAGCAAACGCGTCGGTGGGGGGGGGGGGGCAATGGCCAAATGATCTGTGTGGCCTGCTATCTGATTACTGCCTATCTGAGCCCTGCTAGCCTCTAAGTTTTTCGCTGCCGCCTCTTCCCCGGCACTGCCTGGGCCCTGAGACACACCATGACACACCCTGGGTCGACTGACATGTTCGCGCGACGTTCCAGGGTAACGCAAGTCAAGCCAGCAAACCAAGCACAAAGATGCACACTAGGAACAGTGGGCAAAGGATGCGACTTGCCAGCGCCGGCCCTAATTACACCTTAGCTCCGCCTCAAATCGGCACGTCTCTCACGCGGATAGTGCCCCGTCGGGTGCTCCGCTTTTATCTCACGGCGCGCAGAAACACGAGGAAAAAGCCACCCCTGCGCTACACAGAACTGCATACGGTTGAGTCCTTTGCGAAGCGAACCTCATTTTCCGTAGCGTTGGCCGTACGTCGGCCCCGCCTAGCGCCAGCGCTGAGTTTGCCGCCAAGCAACGGCTGGGGTCTACAAGCCTGATCCCCGTCCCCACCTCATTCCTCTCCTTCTCCTCCTCCTCCTCCTCCTCCTCATCCTCCTCCTCGTCCTGCTCCCCCCCCCTCAGTTGGCCATGCGGACCGAAGCTCTTTTTTGCTCCCAACCTGCGCCTAGATTTACATGGAGTGCCCAAGGCATGACTTCGGGGAGGATGAGCTCAGGCCTGCCAAAACACTCCCGAAAGCAACAGATTCCTGAAAGCAACGGTGTGACCGCATGGTCTGACATGCGAGTAGCGTGCTGCACAACATCAAACGCTCGCCTGCTGGACTTAGTATGAGCGGCCAGTCGACCCATCCTCCTGCATAGTGCCCCAGCCCGTCGCACGAAAGCCAGCTCCGCGCCCCGAGCAACAAAACCTCTCGCTACACTGTTGGATAGCGTAGCACGGATTTGCCACTTTGCTGACGTTCGGATTCTGCCCCTCCTCTCCTGCATCAATAAATTCTCTGTGCATGCACTCACGTATCTTCTAGCACCTCTTATTGACGCGACTGCTACTCCTCCAGTTCTCCTTGCCCTCCTTTCCGCTCCGATCTGGTACCTCCACCTTCCCGTTCCTCTCCCCATAGGGTAGCCACATATGTTCGCCTACGACAACCCTGCAATTAAATGTTCAAGGAACATGGTCTTCAAAGTCTGATTACCGCTCGATATACCCGCACGCCTTATGACAATATGCTTCCAAACATAGAGGTTAGATTTCGGCTTCCCTTACACGACTGTTCCTCATGCTGGTCGCTTCAACAAATGGCTCAGATGTGATGTACAGAATTTTCAAAATCTGGCTCGCGATTGAGACTTCCCCGCACTGTATGATCCGCATGCTTGAAGCTACAACGACTGGACGGCTGAAAGGCAGTCTCGTTATCAGTCCATTTTTTGGCAGATGCTTAGATCCACCCGTTCGGATTGAACTTTCGGGTGGGGGGCAGTGTCTTTTCGAAATCAGGTTCTCGCCACACACACACTTCCTCACAACTCACACTTCTAAAACTTGACGGCCTAAAAGCTTCAGCGCGGTCCCGTCTCAGAACCTGGTTCTCGTTTCGGCAACGCGCGCATACCTAAATGAGTCCACGAACTACATCAATGGAGGGCGATCCCAGACTCATCATAGTTTGCATCGGCATGCAGTCTAATACGACATGGTTTGGGGTGCTTGCAAAGCCACACACGATCGTTACAATTCCTGTCCTACCACTCCATGTGGCAGGGTCGTAGGGATATGACTCGCCCAGCCTTCCCAAGTCCACAGAGCTCTTTTAGCATCGCCGTAGTGTCATAAGACCCTTGCTCTGACTTGTGAGGATGGGCACCCTGGGGCGGACGGGCGTACTGCATCATCAATACACTGTGCCCCTCGATACGGCTACGTCTTGAGCAGGTTCAGCTGCTGCTTTATGTTTAGCAATATCTTGCCAATAGCTTCATGTAGCCTCATCACTAGCTTTGGGTTTTACCCTTGCTGATGACTCGAAAATCGTCTCCAACACCAACTGCAACGGGATACAACTTCAACATGGCTCCGAGACTCCGCATGGAACCGCGACACTCCAATACTCGGGGACCGTGACACCACATCAGGCCCCTGAAATCTGGACGTTGCAGACCAAGACTTGGAACATTCCAACTGGAGAAACATAATAATTGAGAATGCTTCGAACCCCCGCTGCAATCTTTGGGCGGGTCATCAGAGTCCCTGTTCACAAGGCCTTGATGACACCTGGACGCAAAGACGCCAGAACGCCCCGACATCGCTATAGTGCTGGCTATGCTCGCCGCGACACCTCGCCACTGCAACATTGTGACACCAACACGCCAGGACACCCGCAAGGTCAGGGCGGGCAGGATCGGCGACTCCGCAAGGTGTGGTCTGCAAAGCGTGTGGTTTGCAACCGGCAGCCTGGGGGGCATCCGGGGGGGGGGCGGGCGCAGACCTCCACAGAGCTCTCCGCCACCCCCCGAGGAGGCCCGACGAGGACAGCGTCGTGTTTCCCAGGCCCCATCGGTGCCGATCGCGAACCACACCCCGGCGTAAGCATGCCCGCTGTAGTTGCCAACGTGGCAGTGGAAGCTCATATCCGAATCACTCAGGAGCTTGTGGACGCTCGCGCACACCACAACACGGACGTCACGCCAGACACGAACACACAACACTGCAACTTTCCGGCGAAGGCGGCCTCCGCAGAAAACGTGTTACGCCATGAACGCAGACCTCCCACTTGAACGACGATGAGAATCGGATCTCACCCGAGATGACACAGCGAACTTACGCGGTGGCTCACGCGGGCCGCCAGCGCGGCACGCTACATCGGAGGCAAGGGGCTTACGCGCGACCTCACGCGTGCGGCTTGTGCGCCAATGCCAGGTGGCCACATGTGAACCTACCCCCCCCCCCTATATCTAAGGGACCTCCCGAACGAAATGACCCGCTCCCCCTTAGAAATCGTGGGGGGTGGGGTAGGGTTCATATGTGGCCACCGAAATGTCGGCACTGACGACCCCGTTTTGTTCTGTCGCTCACTTGGCACTTCGGAGCAAAATGCAGCGGGCACGACGTGAACGCGTTTTTTCTCAGCACCTGGCGAAGACCAGTGCTGGAGGCGAGGGAGAGCGCGCAAGGCGAGTGGGCACTCGTGTAACCGATCGCACGAACATCACGCTGGGCACGGCACACCTACCATTTCCAGGTGAGGGCAGCTTCCGAGAGCAAGTCGCGCCATCAAGATCGGACTCTCACCTCGCACTTCGTCGAATCTTCCAGGGGCACGTGGCGCTGACGCGTGGCCGCGTGCTGGAGCTGGGAACGAGGTCGTGTGCGCACGGCGAGTGGACAGCGATCTTGTTCTGCGACCCGCACCTGCCCCGCGAAAGCCTCGGTGCGGGCTAAGAGGCTCACCGGAACGTGTACAGGCTGCCCTTCGTGCACTCCACCTGGCGCTTCGACCCGGTGGCCGCCTGCTTGTTCACGAAGTCGGTGCAGCTCGGGTAGCTCCGCGGCCCCTTGGAGATGGCCTGCTTGCAGATCCGCCTGGCGAGGGACAACTTGCCCACGATGTACGGCGCCCGCCGCTGGCTGGGGCAGCCGTCCGGCACGGGCTTCCCGAGCATGTAGATGGTGAACTTGTCGTCGCGGGTCCAGAGGTCTCGCTCGCTGGGGCTGCATTCCTTGAGCCTTCCCAGGTTCGTCTGAGGATCGATGGTGCCGTTCAGCATAGCCTTCGCAGGGACGTAGTTCGAAGACGACCGGACGCCTTCCAGGCAGACCTCGCAGAAAATCTTCTGCCGCACGTTCATCTCAGCCCCTGCCTCCTCGTCCTCCTCCTGCTGTCCCCCCTCGTCGTCGTCCTCCTCGGGCGGCGTCACGTACTTCAGAGCCACCGACTTCGTCTGCCCGCCAATGTCCAACTTTACCACGGGCACCATCTCGACGGCAAGGACAGTTGCTGGCTCGCCCTTGTAAGAGACCTGGCTGCCCTTCGACGCCCAGTCGGGGAAGTCTTCATCTCCAGCTGACGCGGACGCATCCACGAGCGTGTCTGTGCCGTCCAGGCTGGAGGCCTCCTCGCCTCCGATGCGCGCGGCGTGGCAAGACGTCGCCCCGAAGACGAAGAGCGCGGCGTAGAACAGAAACATCGTTCAGCCTCCACGCACAAGAGGGCGGAGATGATGGGACGATGTATTAAGGCAGACAACTTGTGCAAGGCGGATGGATAACCGTGCGCTTCTGGCTCGTCCAGAGCCGAGCTTGAGCCAACATATTCGAGAGAGCGTGATCCACCGCCGCCTTACTGTGGAAAATTGCCGCCCTTTTCCTCCGGAACCCGGGGGTCCCCCCCCCCCGAAAATCTCCCCCCTCCCCTGCTGGACCCCCCCCCCCTCCCTCCCCCGGCAAAACCCCCCCTCCCCTAACCCCTCCCCCCCCCTCCCCCTCGAAAACCGGGGGGGGTCACTACCGGTTCGAACCCCCCCCCCTCGAAAACCGGAGGGGGGGTCACTACCGGTTCGAACCCCTCCCCACCCCCCCTCTCACCGCCAGCAAACGACTCCCGGTCCCTACCACCGTCCTCACCACATCCCCCACTGTTGTTCCCAGCACCACTGTCCTCACCACCACTGTCCCCACTGGTTCCACCACCGCCCCTACTGTCCCCACCAGTGCCACCACCACTGTCGCACTGTCCCCACTGTCCCCACCACTGTTCCCACCACGGTTCCACTCTCCCAACTTTCTCCACGGCCCCAACCACTGCCCGACTATCCCCACTGTCCCCGCTGTCCCACTGACTCCTCCGCTGTCCCACTGAGCTGTCCCACTGTTCCCACCACTGTCCCCACTGTCCCCACCACTGTCCCCACTGTACCTCTGTCCCATTGTCCCACCGCCGTCCTCGCCACCGCCTTCACCACTGTCCCCACCACCACTGTACCCTCCACTGTCCTACTGTTTCCACCACATTCCCACTGCCCCCACACCACTGTCCCCACCACCACCGTCCCCACCACTGTCCCACTGTCCCCACTGTTCCCACCATTATCCTCACCATTGTCCCCACCACTACCGCCCCCACCACTGTCCCACTGTTCCCACCACTGTCCCGCTGTCCCCTCACCAGTCCCCACCACCACCGTCCCCACCACTGTCCGCACCCCCCCTCGGTTTTGGAGGGGGGGGGTTCGAACCGGTAGTGACCCCCCCCTTTTTCATGATGAACTGGGGGGAGGGGGAGGGGTTCGAACCAGTAGTGACCCCCCCCGGTTTTCCGGAGGGGGGGGGGGGGGGGGGAAAGGTTCGAACCAGTAGTGACCCCCCCCCCGGTTTTCCGCCAGCAGCGGTAGAACACGCTCTTTCACATATCCAGACGCAAAATCACAGTCCGACAATGCAAACTACACCCTGGCGCCGTAATGCCTAAACAACATGATTAATCAATGCAGAATGCAATGTGCTGTACTGCGCATGCGGAAGACGATACGGAACCACATACGGCATGCCACACAATAGACTGCCATACGCGGGAACACACGGAAGACCATACCGAAGAACACACGGAAGGACACGCAGGGGAGAAGACGGGAGAGCACGCGGGATAACGTGCTGGTGAGCAGAGGAAAACCACACAGGAGACCACGGGCCACCGACTCCGGAGCCGGAAGGGCTCACACCTGGCCTTAGAAACGTCACAGGTGACCCAGACAAGCTCTTCATGGAACGATCCGCTGCAAACGCGCACACGGGGGAGATGACGCACGGTCTTGACCGACAAACCTCATGAATTGTTCCTTGGAAATGGCGGGGTTGCTCTCTCTCTCTCTCTCTCTCTCTCTGCTGTTGGCCACGACCTCGAGCCGCGCACGCATGTGACCCCGCGGGGGACCCACGGCCGAGGAGATGCTGTGCCCCGACTGCTTATCTCAACCGCGCATCCTTTGCGGTTCTGCTCGCGGCACGCTAACACACATGGCTCGCGCTTGAGACTCCTCCACGCTGTACGATCGAGCACTTGAAACATCAACAGCCACACGGGTGGAAGGCAGCCGGTCTCACGCCAGACATTTACTTCCTCGCGTTAGGCTTGATCTTTCGGATAAATGGCGCTTCCTGTCGGGCCCTCGACTCATAGTCCTTACACCTTGTGATCCCAAATTCCGAATGTTCAAAAGTTTTACCGGTGGATATTGCTTCCTTTTTGAAATCTGGCCCCCGCATCGACAACGACCACATCTTCAACCAACTACATGGGTGGAGGGCGATACGACAACAGCAAAGCCGAAAGGGCGTTCGCCATTCCAATCCTGCCACTGCCAGTGGCAGGGCCGTAGGGCCAAGTCCCGAACCTCAGGAGTACCGCCGTTCCGATCCCTCCCAAGTCCTAAGCTTGCCGCATGCCCATGGAACAGTAAGGGGACAAAAGGTGGAACCCCTTCGTTTTCGACCCCGCGTTCGCCCCTCCTTCCTCAAACTCAAAGTTGGCGTCCGGCCTGCTGGATGCCCTGGGGGCTCCACTTTTTTGTCCGTTCGAGCCTGTGCTCCTGAATGCCCAGGGTCAACTTTGAATAAAGTGGGGAAGGGGAACGGAGCCAAGGGTTCTACTCTTTTGTTGTCCATCTACGGTCCCAAGTCCTATGCCTGCCGCAGGCCCATGGGACCACCACTCTTCCAATTTGCGCCCGCTGGCGAATTCTTTTGTGCTGCCTTCTACGGAGGGGATTGGGAGGGCGTGAGGGCGCACCGCAGCACAAGAGGCGTGTGCCCTGGTTTGAGTTTGAACTTGAGCTCAGACTTCGCGTTCAACTTCACACCCAGCTTCACACTCAATTTGGTGTGCGGCCCGTGGTTTATGTCCAGCCTTTCTTGCCAACACTTTCAGTAAGTACTCGCCTTACTCATTGCTTGACTTCCTCTTCCACCGCCACAAATTCGCGTACCACTTTACCACGGCTCCGTCTGTAATCGCGACACCAAGACACTTCAACATCGTGCCACCACGACACCGCAATACCCCAACACCGCTCTAACATCCGCTACGCGCCGCGACACCTCGACACCGCAGCACAAGGACACCGCCACGATGACCCGCCACCCATCGCCAGGGGAGGGTGCAGTATAGCATTTGAGCTATGATCCTCCCGCTGGCCTTCTGGTTGGTGCTCCAACCTCCCTTTTCCCCCTTAGGGGACGGGTTTACCGCTGCTTCATTCAGGAACAGTGAGCCCCCGAGCCAACATCCCTGCCAAATTCCATGTGGCTGCAAAGTGTGGACCGTGAGCGGGAACCCCGCATAAACTCTGCATTAGTTTTGGACCGGGGGCGGATTGTAGGCAGCTTTGTCCGCTGTGCGCCTGCCTCCTACCCCCGACCAATGCCGACCGATGGTGGATGTGTGTACGCCATACGCTAGGCTGACCACTCCGCCGCCCCTTTACACATGCACCTGGTGCTCGTGGCGCACCTGGAGTGCGCGGCTCACCTCTCGAGCGCCTTGCCCGTGGCCGCTATACCGGCTCACAGCCCACACGATGGCACCCTCTGCCTGTGCTCAATCTCGGATGCTGCTTATGTGGTGGGTTTCGGAACCCCTGAACCCAAAAATGTTCCCATCTCTTGGGGGCGATTCTTTTACTCCCGCCGGCTTCCGCTGGTCTTTCGCCGGCACACGCCGGCGGAGCCGCCTCCGTTTAGCTTCCGCCGCCTTCCGTCGATGAAGAGATGGCAACCCCTTCGATCCTCGAAGGCGAGGCCCCTCCTGGAACGCCTCATGTGGGGGGAGGGCGGGTTGGAGTGGGCGAGACAGCTGGCGTTCCCGTTTGAGCCTCGACCCCTCCGCAATTACACAATATGAATACTACTCTCCTCTCTCCCCTGATGACGTCCGGAAGATGCCTGGCACCCCTCCGAGTACTGCTTTCTTTCACACGGGATTCCTGGGAGTTGGGTTTTCGCTGGTTTTCAAAATATTGACCCCGCTGAAGCGCTGGCCTCAATTTCCGCGCTTCCGCTCGTTCCGAATCGCGCTCCCGCTGCAACGCTGGCCTCATTTCCGCGCTTCCGCTCGTTCCGAATCGTACTCCCGCTGCACGCCTGGCCCCTTTCCGCGCTTCCGCTCGATCCGAATCGTGCTCCCGCTGCATCGCTGGCGTCATTATTTCCAGTGCCATGCCACGGCATGGTCTTCGGTCCTTTCAAATAGGCTCCAAAATTCGCCGGCCCAACGGGCCAGAGGCGAATGTAAAAAAAGGCCCCACCCAGCAAACCATCGGACGTGATTCCACAATCGGTGTCGATTCTTTGATTTTTTGGGCCGCCCCCCCCTTAACTTTGGGGCGTTGTCACGCCATGCTATGTCATGCTACGCGCTGTTCTTCAACACCATGCTATGCCATGCAATGCTATGCTATGCTGCGACACCCGACTGTGCGAATAGAGACGAGATCTACGCCATGGTAAGGGATGGGAGGGAGGGGTCGGACGTCAGATATGACGCGTGCGCACCAAGCTTGCCATAACCCCCTCTGTTGGGACCAGGCGGGAGGGAGGCGCAGGGTGCCAGAGGGTCCGCTGTGGCCAAAGATGGCTCCAAGTGCCCCAGGATGGTGTAATATAGCAAATGGCTCCAGATGGCTGGGCACAGATCCTCTCCACAATACCCCCCAACATCTAATAACATACATTGGGGACATCAATTATATCTGCATCCTCGCCTTTTTCCGCTGCCCATCGGCGCTTGAGACCTCCCAAGAGAGCCCCAGGAGGGGCCCACGAGGGCTCCGCAACGACCACCAAACGGCCGCCCCAGGGGTGCTCCGGGAGACGACTCTTGAGGCGCTGACGGGGCGGGGCTCATTCGTGATCGGCCCATTATTCGATCGATGTTTTCGGAAGATGGCCACTGGAAGCCCCTTCTGGCCCACAGGAAGAACCCACGAGGCCCCCCGAGGTAAACCCAATCTTCCCCTATAGACGGCGCCAAGAGGTTCCCAGTATGGAAGATCTACGAAAGCCTTGATGGTTGACTCCTGTCGTCGTCGTCGTCGTCGTCGTCGTCGTCTTCGTCGTCGTCGCCTTCTTTCCCCGTCTCCCTCATCCTTCCCCTCCTCTTCCTCCTCCTTTATTCCTTCTCCCCTTCCCAGTCTTTTTCCTCCTTGTACTCCCTCCGGTCTATATTCCTCCTCCTCCTCCTCCTCACCTTCCCCCGCGTGCGTACTCCTGCTTCGAAAGAGCGGCTGCGGCTTATGTGATCCCGGGCACCGGGCCCACGGGCGCCCCACCCGGGGCTCCGGACCCACGGGCCCCACCCCCAGGATAGGATATCCCTCGGGCCCCCACCCCCACATGGGATGGGTGGGGGGACGACGACGACGACGACGACAACGACGGCGAGGACGAGGACAGCGGCGGCGGCGGCGACGACGACGATGACGATGACAACGACGACGAAGACACCGTCCGCTCCGGTTCCCTGAAGCGCTGCAACACCACGCCATACCCAGATGGAGGCGACGACGGGGAAGACACCGTCGACGACGACGTTGCTTCTCCTCCTCCCTCCGTCTCCCTCCTCATCCCTCTCTCCTGGTTCCTTGGCCCTCTCTTCCCTAACTTGCTCCACTCTCTCACTTCATCTCCCCATGCATTCGCCCTCAATGGAAAACCCCGCCACGCCACGCACGCAGGGGAACGGGGGGCCCATCGCGAGGGGGAAGGGGGGGGCGGACCGATGGCATCAGCATGACGGGGGGTAGCCCGGACCCTCGATCATATATGGTTCGCTCCTGGGTCGGCTCAGGCTGATCCCGAGCTTCGTTTTGCCTGCTGCCTCACCTCTTTGTCCTAGTGATCAGGGAAACGCGTTTCTGGAAGGACTGGTGTGGATACTGTATACTTTTTGTCCGCGGACGCGCGACATGAATCGAACGCCGAGCGTGCTAGGGCGGGCCGCACCCGTAGCGAAGTCAAAAGCAGTGCAAGCAGAAGCGCGCGGAAGAGCACAGCAGTACCATCCAGATGGCGGTCAGTTGCCAAAGAGCGTGCAGACGTGAGCACGGCCGCAAACATGTCGAACAAAAAGCACATGAAGCGCCCCGAGAGCACGTAGAGGACGACGAAGAGGGACAAACACGGAGCGAATGGAGGTGGACCGCCACCCCGAACAAGGACATCGCCGGGACGTTGAAGACTGCCAAAATTGCGCGGAGAAGGCCCACAGGTGGCCGTAGTGCGGGTTTCGGTGCCGGGGTGTGGATGCTTTTTAGTCAGCGGCCGCGGGCGGACGCGCCGGCGGCGAGTCATGTCAAAGCGGGCTACGCAGAGACTACTTAGGCAGAGGAAGCGAGGAAAAAATAAACCAGAGCGAGCGCGCGATGCGACGGCTAAGCGGGTGTGGATACGCGAAGCGTCGATTAATAAGTGCTCGTGGGCACTCGCGCAAACGATCACACGAACGTCACGCTGGACATGACATACCACGGCACACCTACCATTTCCACGTGAGGGCAGCTTCCGAGAGAAAGTCGCGCCATCAAGATCGGACTCTCACCTCGCACTTCGTCGAATCTTCCAGGGGCACGTGGCGCTGACGCGTGGCGGCGTGCTGGAGCTGGGAACGAGGTCGTGTGCGCACGGCGAGTGGACAGCGATCTTGTTCTGCGACCCGCACCTGCCCCGCGAAAGCCTCGGTGCGGGCTAAGAGGCTCACCGGAACGTGTACAGGCTGCCCTTCGTGCACTCCACCTGGCGCTTCGACCCGGTGGCCGCCTGCTTGTTCACGAAGTCGGTGCAGCTCGGGTAGCTCCGCGGCCCCTTGGAGATGGCCTGCTTGCAGATCCGCCTGGCGAGGGACAACTTGCCCACGATGTACGGCGCCCGCCGCTGGCTGGGGCAGCCGTCCGGCACGGGCTTCCCGAGCATGTAGATGGTGAACTTGTCGTCGCGGGTCCAGAGGTCTCGCTCGCTGGGGCTGCATTCCTTGAGCCTCCCCAAGTTCGTCTGAGGATCGATGGTGCCGTTCAACATAGTCTTCGCAGGGACGTAATTCGAAGACGACCGGACGCCTTCCAGGCAGACCTCGCAGAAAATCTTCTGCCGCACGTTCATCTCAGCCCCTGCCTCCTCGCCCTCCTCCTGCTGTCCCCCCTCGTCGTCGTCCTCCTCGGGCGGCGTCACGTACTTCAGGGCCACCGACTTCGTCTGCCCGCCAATGTCCAACTTTACCACGGGCACCATCTCGACGGCAAGGACAGTTGCTGGCTCGCCCTGGTAAGAGACCTGGCTGCCCTTCGACGCCCAGGCGGGGAAGTCTCCATCTCCAGCTGACGCGGACGCATCCACGAGCGCGTCTGTGCCGTCCAGGCCGGAGGCCTCCTTGCCTCCGATGCGCGCGGCGTGGCAAGACGTCGCCCCGAAGACGAAGAGCGCGGCGTAGATCAGAAACATCGTTCAGCCTCCACGCACAAGAAGGCGGAGATGATGGGACGATGTATTAGGGCAAACAACTTGCGCAAGGCTGGATGGATAACCGTGCGCTTCTGGCTCGTCCAGGGCCGAGCTTGAGCCAAACACTTCGGACGCTAGGTGCAAAGTCTGCAGTACAAGTGGGGCATGAGCGACAAGCCCTGTGCATTTGTCGAGAACAAGGTGTGCGGGGGCCTTGGGAGCCGTGCGCACTGAACCAACATGCTGGTAAATCCGTAGAACATGGCGCAACACCTCCTTTGAGAGAACTCCGACTGGACATCTGATGGAAAGCCGAGAGATCGTGTGAGCACGTCGGGCACTGACCAAGGGTGCCCTCTCTCCCTCAAGCCGCCCGCGTCGGGGGAACAAAAACACTAACCCAGGATGGCAGTCTTGGGCGGGATCTGATTGAACTTAGCGTATCGGACCACCCACGCAGGAAATTTCCGTTGCCCCTCAATTCATCTGTGATCACCACGGCGGTTCTGCTCGAAGCAGGCCAAAATCCAGCACCATTGTGTGTGACTCGGGCTCAGGTGTGGCAGGACCACCCACGAAACCGAGAGAAGAACACCACCCCAGTTAAAACTTCGCACGAGATTCCGACGAGAGACTTTCACAGACACGACTGGGTATGGCATACCAGTCGGTGAAGCCGCTGGCTACAGCTTCGAGCTGCGCGCAGCTGGAGGGGCAATGCCGTCTCTCGGGCCCATGGCGTTTTCCGCCCTGCCTGTGTGGAACCAGGCCGTGTCCGTCCACGGCCGAACATCCAGCTCGAACGTCCAGACACATCGGTCCTGAGTGTGCAGATGCCAATAGGTCTCACTGAGCTTGTCTGGCTCGACGATGCCGCCCTGCGGCCCCTTCAGGGCCTTCATCTGTTGGAACTGCTCGGGAAAAAACTTGCCAAGCGTATCGGGAGAGTCGACCATGCCGTCGATGACAACGTGGGCGACGTGCACCCCAGAGGCTGCCAGCTCGTGCGCGAAGGACATGGCGACACCGCGGCGGCCCATCATGGCGGCGCTGTGGGCTGCCTGTCCCTGGTTGCCACGGACTGCTGCGGTGGCACTGGTGAAGATCAGCGTGCCACGCCCGCGAGCGGCCATGTGCTTCGAGACGGCCTTCCCCACCAGGAAGGCCCCCAGGGCCCCCAGCTGCCAGGCGCGTGTGAAGACCCGCGCGTCGAGGGCCTGGATCGGCCGGTCCCCAACGTTCGCCCCGACGTTGTAGACCGCAATCTCGATCGGCCCAATGCTGCTCTCGATCGTGTCGATGAGATCAGTGACGTCGCTCTCCCGGGTGCCGTCGCACAAGTGCGCGTGCGCGCACACGCCCAGCCGCCGGAGCTCCGCGGCCAGCGCCTCCAGCCTGTCCCTGTCCTCGGGAGGCCCCCGTTTGGCGCCCGCCAGCCCAGTCGTCCCTATCCAGCCCCCGCCGCCTCGGTCCACCTCGAGGGCGCGAGGGGGGAGGGGCAGGCATTGGGCGGGGACGATTGGGCGAGAGCCCGGGGCCGAGGTCGGTGGGCGGCCAGGCTCCCAAAGTTGCCAGGGTGCCGTGCCTGGCCGAGCTCCAAGGTTCCCAGGTTCTTGGTCCTGGGGGTTCAGGTTTTGTTGGTTGAGACTTGGCGTGCATTTGCAGGATTTCGGTGGGCGGCCAGGTTGCAGGATTCCTGATTCTGGGTGGTGGTGACAGTTCCCCGCCGAGTCCACGGGGTGCGGCTGGGTTTCCAGGATCCCCGTACAGAGAACAGAGAACTTGAACCGAGCAGATCGATTGTTTTCCAGCGCAGACCCCAAGCAGTGAGTTACTGCATGAGGTGCAATGTATGTGGCCCCAGCTATGTGGCGTAAGCTAGGCGGTATAGGCAATGCTGTTGCAGCTATGCGGTGTAGGCTGTGTGGTGCAAGCTGTGCGACGCAATGTGTGGTTTCCAGCTATGTGGTGCAAGCCCCCGTGGTGCAAGCTATTCGATGCAAGCCATGGAGCACAATCGATGTTGCACACACACACACACATGTGCAGTTGGACCTAGGCCAGAAATACAGCCCTCAAGAGCACGAGACCGTTCGCCAGCCAGAACGCACAGAACATCCAAGGGTGCCCCCCCCACCCCCCGGGATGCACCAGAAGGCACAACAAGCACGAAGAAAATGAGTGCGCCCTCCCCGAACCGACCTCGATCCTGTGCCTCGGTCCGGCTGCCGTGCAGGCTCTGTGGTGCAAGCTGTGCGCCCGCCAACGGGGCGCCCACGAGGCGCCCACGGAGGCCCCACCCGGGCGAAGCCGCGGCAAAGCCCACCCGGTGCACGGGGCGCCCGCGGGGCGCCCAGGGGCGACAACCACGAGGAGCCTCGGCAGACCCATGCAACCCACGGGGCGCCCACGAGGCGGCCAGGGGCCACAGCGTGGGGAGAAACCTCGGCAAGCCCACCCAATGATTGGCGGGGCGCGAAAGGGGGTAGGGGGAGAGGGGAGGGCTTCTTAGAAGCAGGGGTGCTCCTTAGAAGGCGCTGGCCCTGCATCTATAGAGAAGGTCCGCGCCTTCTGAGAATCAGGGGTGCTTCTAAGAAGCCTTCCCCCTCCCCCTGCCCCCTTCTTCGCGTGGCCGAAATTACCCTTGAGCGAAATAAGAATCCCTAGTGCAAGCACTGTTTCGAGAAGGAGGAGTATCATCGGAAGTATGGGAACTAGACTTAGTATGTGGAACACAGAGAAATACAGTGACAAGTGCGGGTGGAAAGAGACAGGGAGAGAGCGAGAAAGAGAGAGAGAGATAGAGTGAGAGCAAGAGACAATAGTCAAGAAGTATCGCATACAATAGAGAGGGGTGAGCTCGGAACAGATCGCTAACTGCAGAATGAAGACAACACATTTTGGATAACGACGAGAGGTAGGGAATACAGATCGTAGAAATACCCAAACAACCGTGGTTTTGCATCCTTTGCCATGGCCCACCACCAACTCGCTGCTTTTCCATTTTACGCGCAAACAAGCGATTAGGGTTTTCTCTGGCGTAGTTTTTGTGCTTGGGGATCTTCTCGGGCCTGTGCAGCCTCTGGAGTGGGCCTGGGCCGAGAGGGGAGGGAGGGAGGGAGGGGGATGAGTGTAGAAGGAAGCAGGCAGAAGAGGCGCAGGACGGGTTGGAGGAGGGGAGGAGGAGGAGGAGGAGGAGGAGGAGGAGGAGGAGGAGGAGGAGGAGGAGGAGGAGGAGGAGGAGGAGACCTGGCAGATTGCACGACATTCCCTTCGTCCTTGCGCCGCACCAGGCACACCGTGTAGCCGCCACGGGCGAAGCGCCGGGCGATCCCAGCACCGATGCCGGCTCCGGCGCCGAAGACCAGGCAGACGCCTCTGGCCATCGCGGCGGGCCTCGCCCAACGGTTCCACCAAAGGTGGCGCCTGCGAGGTGGTTCCTTCGGCGGTGCGCGCGCGAGGCGCGCGCGCGAGGTGGCGCCTCGCCCAACGGTTCCACCAAAGGTGGTTCCTTCGGCGAGGTGCGCGCGCGAGGTGCGCGCGCGGGTCGCACATGACCGTTGCGTGCGGGCAGCGGTCATGTGCACCACCTCCGTCTGCCCCCCCAGGGTCGCACGGGTTAGCAGAACGGGGCAGTTCCAGGCGATGCCACGCTCCAGCGGCGCACGGAAGAGCAGCATGGCAGACCAGCGCCATGGCAGGGGGTCCCAGCACAAAAATGGTCAAACCCCGCGATGGTGGTATAATATTCGGGCTTCTTGTAACGAGCCATAGGAACACCACCACCGCGTTTGCTCAGATAAACCTTGGTTTGGCCCTCGGGTGCGGAAGTTCCGTTGGAGAACACAAGAGTGCGAAAGCGGGCCCCCTACCACAGCCCAACAGTTCAACAACGAACCGCTAGTTTTGAGATCTTGCTGGTGGTAGCCATGGTTCCGCGCCTGGTCACAAGCCTGTGCCGGCCAGGCCCGCCCAGACCGCGCTGCTCACAGCCACAGAGGCCATTCCCGACTGACGGTGACAACCCGTGACCCGTGACGCCCTTTCAAGCTGGATAAGAAGTGGCGCACGAGGGCAGCGAGCGCACACATAAGGCATATGACAAGGTATACACTCAAAGCTTCTGCAGCGCGTGTGCGAGCCAATTGGTGGCATGCTCCATGCCATCGGCCCAGCACACGATATCCCAGCTCCCCATGTGGTGAAGGCATTCCCCAGTTTGCAATCTGCTCATCTCCAAGGGACTGGATGGCAACACCCAAACCCGACAACGCAGGTCCCAAATTTCTGAATAACACTGCCCCGTCACTGCTGGCACTCTAAAACGGCAGACACATGAGACACGTGCTGCTTACCCATTCCCTTCCCGTCTCATTCGCGCCTCTGTTCCCCCAGGAGGCTCCTTGAAGCTCTCGCTCTCGCCACGGCTGTCGGCGATGGACTCGCGCAAACCTGGCAGTACCAGCGCAGAGAAGAAGCGTTCCATTGATCACCGATCGCGTAGCACAAGGAGCTGAGGCACAGAGTCTCCCGCTTCCCCAGGTACGGATAACCATACATTTGGCTGTTCGGAGCGGCGTGGCGCTTCTTTGCGCACAGCCGTGTCGTTGCAGGCCCGCGCCACTGGGCGTTCCCTTCTACACGGGGACGGGAGGTCCGACTTTCTATCCACGGTGAGCATCACACCAGTCATGTTACCCCTATTCGCCAGCCTCCTCCAGATGTAAGGGTGCTCCGATCAGTAACTACTTGGCTCCACGTGCATGCCAGCGCGCTCGTAATGCAGCGTGTCTGGGGCAGACTTTGGCGAAGAGGTCCTGCGGATCTGAGCGGAGGCCTGACTGGCAGTGGATGCATCTGAGACCAGGGACGGCATCGGATCTAGGCATCTGCGAGGGTCGCCGCTCGTGGGGATCATCGTTCGTTTTTCCTTCGTGCTCACCACGTGCTCACTTCTAATTCCGCTCGTGCTTTATACCTGCTCACTACCTGTTAGTGTGCTCTCTCTCTTTCTCTCGCTACCTCTCTATCTCTCTCTACCTGCTTACTACGTGCTCACACCGCAAATCGGAGGGTAGGACGGGCACATGTGTAGAGAGACAACCGCTCTTCTTACCCCTCCAAGATGTACCTGGAGGTCCCCAGCTGCAGAAGCATCCGCAAGTCTCCTGAGGCCTCCACAAATCCACGGAGGTCCATGGATGTCCCGGGTGGTTGCCGGAGTCCCGAAGAGGAACCCCAAGAAATCCGAACGCCTCGGAGCTGGCTCCTCCTCCCATTGGGAGGGGGGCTCTGGTTCAGCGGCCTTCCTCCTCCTCCTCCTCCTCCTCCCCTCCTCCTCCTCCTCCTCCTCCTCCTCCTCCCTCCCTCCCTGGCTCGCACTCAAAAGCCTGACTCCCCAAACCCTTGCATCTCTCTTGGAAGGCCGACCTTTACGTCCGTCGGCGGAGCCACCTCCGTTTTGTTACCACCGGCCTCCCGCCGAAGGAAAGATGACAAGTCGTCGCAAGACAGAAGCAGGATGAGGAAACCTGCCGACAAGCGGGAGATCCCTGAGACCTGGCGGGTCTGGAGCATGCAGCGGGCGCCTCGCCCGCTGCAGAGCGCCCGGGAACGCTCGGAGAGCCCTCTGGAACGCTCTGGAACAATCCATCCTCACCCTCCTGGGCCTGCCTGACTTCGGCCCCTCGAGGGCGAGGCCCTTTCTGGAACGCTTTGGCATAGGGACAGCAGGCCCCGAGGGAAACGGCTCCTGGGCCCCGGGGCCTTCCCCCAGGACGAGATCTTCACCCCGAGTCGCTTTCTGACGGTCCTGGGGCCCGAGGGCCCCGAGAACCCGAACACTAAGAAAAACATGAAGACCCACTTCCCTCAGGACCCGTTTCCTCGGGGACGCACTGACCCAAGTCAACGCCAACCTGGGTCAACCAGGCCTTGTACGGCCCTGCGAGATCCCGCAAGATCCTGCACGCTGGTCTGGGTCGGTGCAGCCCTGGGCTCCGCCAGGGATCCTGCAGGATCCACTGCGAAACGCCAACCCCCAGGGGTCCTCGGCCAGACGGACGGGGGCCCGCGCCGCTGCCCAAACTCACGGTCGCCAGCGGCGCCCGCAGCGCCCCGAGGCGGCCGCTGCGCCGCACGGGCTAGGGGCGGGGGGCGAGGGGGAGGGCGCCGAGGCGGAGGGCGGGAGGAGCCAGGAGGGAGCAGGAGGAGGGGAAAGAAGGAGCAGGAGGAGGGAGGTGGGCCATGACGAGTAGTATGCATGGATGGATGGAATCCGCCCAGCGAGGCGGCATTGTGGGGGCGCGGGCAGTGGGGAGGAGGAGGAGGACTAGGAGGAAAGGGAGGAGGAGGAGAAGGAGGAGGAGGAAGATGAGGTGGAGGATGAGGATGAGGATGAGGATGAGGATGAGGATGAAGATGATGATGCTGATGATGATGATGATGATGAGGAGGAGGAGCTGTGGGAGCTGTGCATGAGCGACAACGAACGTCGCATCCCCGAAGGGAGCACTTAGGCGAAAAAGTGCGACGGAACGGGACAAGGGCAAGACGCCTGGCCCACTCGCGGCCGCCTTCCTTGAGGCGGTGTGTCGCTCCGGTGGTGCTGCGAGGGACCCGGAATCCTCGCCTCTGGAGACGACACAGGTCCTGATACCGCGGACCCCGCTGCGCCGACCCTGATCCTGCGGGCCGGCTACGCAGACCCAGGAGGGCAAACACGTGCCACACCTGACATGAAAAAACGTGATGAGAGGGAATCGAACCCTCCACCACGAAAAGCAACGGCCGCCTTCTTGTCTCCGCCGACTTGGGCCAGAACCCTGACAGTATGCCCTCCGCTATGATGAGGAGGAGGAGGAGGAGGAGGAGGAGGAGGAGGAGGAGGAGGAGAGGGAGGAGGAGGAGGAGGAGGAGGAGGAGAAGGAGGAGAATGAGGAGGAGGAAGAGAAGGAGGATGGAACAGGAGGGGGCAGAAATCAATGAACATGGTGCGCATAAGTCCGCCCGGAGAGGCCCACCCGCTCGGCGGCGGACGCCGCCGACGGGGTGAGGACGGCAAGATCCCCATTCGACTGATACTGGTGCCGCACGAATGCCCAGGCCATGGCAGGCGGGTGAAGCGCTTCCGGATGTTCTGGTTCCGCCGCGAAGAACACGCATGTGTGGTTTCCCCACCACTTTTGTTCAACCCTGCTGGACGTACGCCCTTGTGGGCATGGGGACGGTGCGCGCTGCCAGCGTGATCCGCGCGGCCCTGCTTCCCAGCTCCTGCGTCCAGACTGGAGGCTGCTGATGAGACACAGCGTCGCCGCATCCTCGAAAACCTGGCCCCAACACAGCTAGCTTTCTTCGATGGGGTTGTTTGCGCTGGGGATGTGATGACATTCGGCTCCATCTCCCCACTGTTCGGATAAGAGTGAGGGGGCGGGCGCGGGCGACGCGGGCGTCGAGCCGGCGGACCTCGTGGCCCTCACCTTCCCTGTCGATGGCGCCCTCCTCCTCCTCCTCCTCCTCCTCCTCCTCCTCCTCCTCCTCCTCCTCCTCGTCCTCCTCCTCCTCCTGCTCCTCCTGCTCCTCTTCCTCGTCCGCGTCCTCGTCCTCATAGTCGTCGTCGTCGTCCGCCTCCTCCTCCTCCACCTCCACCTCCTCCTCCTGGAGCAGTCTCACCAGCAGCCTCCAGTCTGGACGCAGGAGCTGGGAAGCAGGGCCGCGCGGATCACGCTGGCAGCGCGCACCGTCCCCATGCCCACAAGGGCGTACGTCCAGCAGGGTTGAACAAAAGTGGTGGGGAAACCACACATGCGTGTTCTTCGCGGCGGAACCAGAACATCCGGAAGCGCTTCACCCGCCTGCCATGGCCTGAGCATTCGTGCGGCACCAGTATCAGTCGAATGGGGATCTTGCCGTCCTCACCCCGTCGGCGGCGTCCGCCGCCGAGCGGGGGGGCCTCTCCGGGCGGACTTATGCGCACCATGTTCATTGATTTCTGCCCCCTCCTGTTCCATCCTCCTTCTCTTCCTCCTCCTCCTCCTCGTCCTCATCCTCCTCCTGCTCCTCCTCCTCCTCTTCCTCGTCCGCGTCCTCGTCCTCATAGTCGTCGTCGTCGTCCGCCTCCTCCTCCTCCACCTCCACCTCCTCCTCCGTTTCTTCCTCCTCCCTCCTCCTCCTCCCTCCTCCTCCTCCTCCTCCTCCTCCTCCTCCTCCTCCTCCTCCTCCTCCTCCTCCTAACAGGACGCGCAGGGTGCCATCTGGAACGACTGTGAAAACAGAACGCCGCAGGCGCCGAACATTTTGATTTGTACACTGAGCGCGGTTTGAGTCGCACGTTCTCCACCTGGAACGAATGCAAAACAAACCCGCCGCAGGCGCCGAAATTTTGGCTTGTTCAGTGAACGTAGTTTGGGTCGCGGGTGGGTCGCGGGCTCTCCACCTCCACCTGGAGGAAATTCAAAAACAGCCCGCCGCAGGCGCCGAAAATTTTGATTTATACACTGAACGCGGTTTGGGTCGCGGGTGGGTCGCATGCTCTCCACCTGGAACGAATGCAAGAGAAGCTCGCCGCAGGCGCCGGACATTTTTGGGTGGGTCGCGGGGTGGTTCGCGGGTGGGTCGCGGGAGCGGTTTGGGTCGCTGGTGGGTCGCAGGTTTTCCACCTGGAACGAATGCAAAAGAAGCC